CCAACAGAAAACACTTAAGGCCATCCAGTCCAACTCCCTTCACCAGGGCAAGAAAATGTAATCAAAGCCCTCCTGACAAAGAGCCATCCAGCCTTAGATATAGATAGATACATATGATTCACACACACACACAGATATAATATAGATTTGAACGGGACCCCAAGAAGGACAATTATATGTTGCATGTTTCAGAGTAGGCAAACCAGACAATCTCCACATCAACACTGACATAGAAACAACAAGAAATACTGTTTACCCATAAGCATAAAGGAATTACATATATTAGAAACCATTAATTTATTTTCCAGATCACCAGACTGGGCCACAGCAACGTGTGGCAGGGGACGGCTAGTATTTAAATAAAAGAGCAAGTGTGGTATAGTAGTTTGAATGTTAAGGCTCTGTGAAATCAGGATTGAAATCTTTTCTAGCCATGGAAACCCACTTGATAGCCTTGGGCAAGTCACACTCTCTCAGCTTAAATGGAGGGCAGTGGCAAGCCTCTGAAGAGTCATTATCAGACAGAATGGAAGTCAATTAAGTTAGTGAGAACTTGTCAAGACAAGATGTTACTGGTATATATAATCTAACAAGGAAGATTACTTAGAAAGTTGAGAATTTGAAGTTCTGATTATCAAAAACACTAATTTAATTTTCCACACATCCAGAAGATATTCACAGATATCCGTTAAGTTTTTTCCGGGAATATAAGACTTTGTTTTTTCCTCCTGAATCCATCATTAGTTCTCAATTGGGCCTCTGTTGGCATAGTTTGGGGAATCTCTTGGGCAATGAATGCAAACTTCTTGGAAGGGTAGGGTTCTGGGACACAGAGGACCTGTTCTTTCGCCAAGCATTGGTTAGATTGAATGCCTCTTAGCAAAGAGTTCCAATTGGCACATCATTGACTTGTACTTCCTAGCTTTATTCTTCCCTTGTTGTCCCATCATCCCAAGCCTAATTTGCTTACTGTTTATTGTTTATTTTTTGTTTATGTGATTTATATTAATTGTTTTGTATTGATTGTTTTTGTTATTGCCTTTGTTTACTGATGTACTGTGGGCTTGGCCTCATGTAAGCTGCACAGAGTCCCTTGGGGAGGTGGTAGCGGAGTATAAATAAAGATAATAATAGTAATAATAATAATAATAATAATAATAATAATAATTATTATTATTATTATTATAGAAGAGCTTTGCTTTGGTCTAATGCTGTCTTCCTGCGCTTTGTGATAGGAAATAGTCATATCTTTCAATGGAAAGGCTACTTAAATTTGTCCTGAACCCGGGTTGCTGGAAAAAGTATTTAATAGACTGTTAGCATCACATGATTCTCAGTGAAGAATACGAATTGGCCATGGCCATAAGATAATGTTGGAAGAAATTTTAAGTCTTTGGGAAATACAAGGCTTCCCCTCCCCCAGCCTTTCCTATTAAGTGAAGCTTATATTTTCTGTCTGGGTGTCTGTCTTGCCGTCCGGCCTTTTCTCGATGCCAAGGACAAGAATGCCATTTCTGTTTGTATTAGATGTCTAGGCTTATTACAGATCTTGTTGTTAGCAAATTTAGAAATTGGATTGGTTTTTGTGCCATCATAACTTAAGTCTGTGAGCACCTTGTGTAGTTCCAGTTGCTCTTGATATAGAGAAGGGAATGCACCAAACATGATTTTTTGTAACTTTCCTAGTTCTGAAATGGTTGCACAATTAATGGAGAAGTTAATAATAATAATAAAAAATTATTTATACCCCACCACCATCTCCTCCAGGGACTTGGAGTGGCTTACATGAGGCCAAGCCCAACAACACATCAAAAACAACAAGCAGTAATAAAATAACAAGCAATAAACAAAATAAACAATACAATTAATATAACTCACAAGTAGACAATAAACACAAGAATTTAAAAACCTATGGCTGGGCCAAATGTAATAGTTAAAACTTTAAAAATAAATGCTGGACATGAACAGAGTATGTCTCTATTTGGAGGGTTTTAAATCAAAAGTAAAGAGCAACCCAACGGGTAATTAAAGTGCTTCTCAGAGTATTTGCAGGGGATTGTTTTCTTTATTCGGGGAAGGCACACTGGAACAGCCATGTTTTCAGGCTCCTCCTAAAGACTGCCAATGTGGAGGCTTGTCTGATATCCTTGGGGAGTGAGTTCCAGAGTCGAGGGGCAACCATGGAGAAGGCCCTCTCCGTCCCCACCAATTGCGCCTGTGAAGGAGGTGGGAGCGAGAGCAGGGCCTCCCCAGATGAACGGAGAGATTGTGTGGCTTCACACACAGAAATGTGGTCACGCAGGTAGGCGGGTCCCAAACCGTTCAGGGCTTTGTAGGTCAGAACCTGCACCTTGAATTGTGATCGGAAAATGAACGGCAGCCAATGGAGCTCTTTAAACAAGGGGGTTGACTGCTCCCTATAAGTCGCCCCAGTAAGTAACCTGGCTGCCGCCCACTGGACCAATTGAAATTTCTGAGCCGTCTTCAAGGGCAGCCCCACGTAGAGTGGGGCTGGAGGTGACTAAGGCGTGGACCACCCTGGCCAGGTTAGCATATAAATTAAGTGGTGCTATCCTTATTCGTGTAAACTAGAGTAGAAATTAAAATGTGAAAACCTGTATGATTCTGTGAACGAAGCTTTTAGAGCCAGCCAAAGTCCTGATTTCTGTTTCAATGAGAATTCCTCTTTTGTGGGAGAAAGAGCGAAAGCAATTAATGCCATGGGTGGATTACTGTAGAATGAGATGTCTGTGGTGTATATTATTCTTGGAGCCAATGTACTAATCTAGGAGCACAGTGTATTAAAGGATAACGTGTTGTTTTATGATTTAAAAGCTTTCATTTGGGACTTTTGGAAGTAATTACCTTGGCCGGGAGAACTCTCTCTGATGTATGCCTTTAAGTCCTTCAGTTTTCATTCTTGTATAAGAGCATTATAGCAGGCGCCTGTGCTTTGCTGAGATTGTTCTGAGATCACAGTTCATGAAAATGTTAATAATATGCTGCTCCTTTTCCAATAAAGAGGAGAGTGGAGGAGGATGTGCTGAGGAAGTTTACTTATATAGAGTTCTCATCCTCTGAACGCCCCTGGTTGAATGGTTGCTTTCTGCAACACAAAACCCTGCTAATACCTCTTTCTTTAAACTGAGATCATTGTCAGATGAAGATGGAAATGGTTTCCTTTTATCTTTTTCACGCTAATCAGTTTAAAAACACTTAGTCCAGCTATGTTTATATGGTTTCAGTGAATGTTAAGCATTTGATCTTTGTTGGCTAGTGAGGAGGAAGGAAATCTTAAAGTGTAAAATCATAAAGGAGTGTAAGCTCTTCTGTATTCATTTCTGGCCCCAGGACATTGGTATATCTCCAGTATTTTGCATTTGCTGCTATAATTATACTCAGTTGAGTTTGTTTTAAGCTACGAGCGATATACAGCCAGGCAGTGCCAGAGAATTATACTCCAGGGGACACTTTGGAATGCCACTAACCGGCTGCAGTAGAAAATGCTCCCAAGGTCAGTTACACTCTAGCCATAAATTGCGTCAAATTCAAGTACCAAGACAAGCAGGAGAGATGCTTTTAAAAAAGCCCTTCACTGAGAAGTTGAATCGCATTGACAGTAAACTCTTAGCAGCCGGTCTCCCTGTAGAGCAATGGTTCTGCATCTAACTTCAGCAAGAATGATAACTTGCGGCAGCTGTCACTTACTACCATTTTCATTGATGTCTCACTTTTTGTAAGTGGAGTTATTAAACTTTTAATTTAGTTCACATCCTTTGCAAGAGTCGGGGGGGGGGGGATTTATACTACCAATTACAAAAAATACCTGTCAAGGTCCTTCTTACATTATGTGATAACTTTTCATCAGCATGGGCAGAGCAGGGATATCAGTGGGACCTTTTCCTCTCTTTCCTGCCACCTCTGTGTGGCAATGGGGGCTGTAATTTTGCTTTATTCCACATTGGCTTTAAATGGCCCAGCAGATCACATTATAAGATGGTGGCTGCAAAGGGCTAGAAGACTCCCTGAGCACCATTTGAGGAATACTAGCGTAGCGATTGAACCATTCTTGCCTTTCCCTCCCCATTATGTTATGGCCATGATGTGAGGTTAAATTAGCCTTAGAGATGTTCTATTACATCAAATGATTTACCCAGTGCATCTACCATAATGGTTTGTGAGATATATATGTATGTATGTGTACATATAGGCCAAGATTCTATATTGCGTCAGCGTAATGTAAATATCTGCTGGGGGAATCATATTATGAAGTATTGAATACTGACACAGAATGGGTATTCACATACTATTCTCTGTGTTTTAGTGCTTTTCCACCTACATATTAGTCCCACATATGCATCCCTGCTTACACAGCCATCGACTCAGTAGGAGCATTGTGCCAAAAAGAAAATCACTGCACCCATAACACAATTTATACCTATGTGTATGTTACTAACAGGGCTAGCGAGAGAAGGTGAACACGAGGCTAACACCAGCTGAAGGAAAGGGAAGTAGAATTTATATTGTATCTGCTATCTGCAATGAGTCAGGTTGCGATCAGAGTGAAGATCTCTTCACTGATGGCATTCTATTAAGGGAGCTTTCTTGTCACCAAAGCTCACATGCCTCCTGCCTGTTTGTATTCTAGGTACCAGACTCTTTATTTTCCAGGAGTTATGGGCTCTATATAATCTATAGCTGAAACAGATGCTAGGCAGTTTAAAAGTGTGCTTCCAATGTGGGCTGTTTTGGGAATGATTAGGAAAATGTTTAGAAATGCTTAAACTGAAAAAAATAGGGCAGAGGTGGAAGATTTGTCTTTATAATTTATGTTGATTATCATAAAGGACTCAGGGTGAAATTTCACACATTTTCCCTGGGATTTTAAGGCCCAGTGAACATGGTGGGACTTATTGCTAGCCAAAGGCCCTTCTTGTTTTAATAGCACTTGTTTATTTTGTTGCTGGTGAGATCTAGTTTCCCTCTTATTCTTTTTCTAGGAAATGAATGGCGTGCTAAAGAATATGCTGTTGGAATGGTTTTCCACGGGTTTCCTCAACTTGGAACGAGTTACTTGGCAGTCGCCTTGTGAGATACTTCAGAAGATTAGTGAGTAAGTGCCAGTCATTATTGAGATGTATGTCTTTGGTTCAAGCAGTTACGGGGTCACCTATGGTACATGTCCAGATTCACAATTACACTGCTCTCTTGATATGGGAAAGAGGGAACCTTAATATGAAAGACCAACCAAACATTGTGTTTAAATGTAAGTCTCCTTTGCCTTTTTTCTTCCAGCAGTGAAGCTGTCCATCCTGTGAGAAACTGGATGGACATGAAGCGGCGAGTTGGGTCTTACAGAAGGTGCTATTATTTTGTTCACTGTGCCATACCAGGAGAGCCATTGATTGTGCTGCATGTTGCACTTACGGATGAGATTTCCAGCAGCATCCAGGTATAATTGATGTGTAGCTGCAGATGTAATTCTGGATTTTGTTTGTGGGTTAGTTGTCTCCTGAAAGTGATAGTCAAAACCATAACCTGGCCACCTTCTTGGGATCTGGCTTGGGCAAACTTACCAACTTTCATGTGTCCAACTGGAGCCCCCATGGCACAGTGGGTTAAACCCTTGTGCTGGCAGGACTAAAGACAGACAGGTTGTAGGTTCAAATCTGGGGAGAGTGCTGATGAGTTCCCTCTGTCAGCTCCAGCTCCCCATGCAGGGACATGAGAGAAGCCTCCCACAAGGATGGGAAAACATCAAAACATCTGGGCATCCCCTGAGCAACATTCTTGCAGACAGCCAATTCTCTCACACCAGAAGCTACTTGCAGTTTCTCAAGTCGCTCCTGACACACACACAAAAGTGTCCAGCCAAACTCTGATGGTTCTCTTTTGTTTTTGCGACCTCCAGTGCTGCATCATCACCTATTTTGGAAACACCAACATACATTTAATATTATGTGTAGTATCTGGAAGGTTATAGCTCACTTGCAGGTGAGCCAAAAAGCTAGCAATGTATGCTGAATAAATCATTCAACGCATAAGGTTGTGGTCCATGGTAGATACAGGTAGTTGGAGAATGTGAAGCTGGTTCTAATCCTGTTAATTCTCTTGTAGGCCATCGTGAAAGAGGCCCCTTCCCTAGAAGTAGAGGATATGAACAAAATTACCACAGCCATTTTCTATTCGATCAGTTCGACTCAACAGGGCCTGCAGGGCGTGGAGCTGGGGGCCCATCTTATCAAACGGGTTGTTACGGAACTGCAGGTATGGAGAAAGGTTAACCGCGGATGTCACTTCTTACTCATGTAAAGTGTTTAAGATGAGGCACAACACAGGCTTTGTACTTGAATCTAATTTTATATTGCTGTTAGTGTTCCTATCCTTGACATACAACTATTAGGAAGCTGTTGTTATTGTTATTGTTCTGTCTTATTCAGTGTCACTTATACACTGTCTGATGTCAGGAGGAGTCTTCCCAATTCAGTGAGGGATCAACAATTTGATTTGGGACTTTTTGTATGTAAAGTCTGTGCTTCCTTTTAAAAATTTGGGCCTTTCTTTTCAAAACATGCAGAAGGCCTGTGCTCAAGCTCCAGTACTATTCATTCACCAGAGATGTGCCAGTCTAAGGATATCCCTTTCTTTCAGTTGAACTGATTTCTCAACACATCAGCACTGATTTTCTTTTGTCCAGCAGTTCACTGCTTGCCAGCTGGGGACTTAACATCCTCTTCCTGCTCAAATACATTGCCTTGCACAATTAGATCCTTAGGTGATTTTATCTTTCATTCAAGTGAAGTGATAAGAAAATGCCACGTTTATTTCCTAAGGAGGGAATTGATGGAGAGAAAGCACAATTCGCAGGCCTGCAAGTAAGGGCTAGTTGACTGCAAATGAGGCGATAAACCAAAAGCATAACTAAAGCTTATTAGTGGGATATGATTTTACTGTTGAATGCATTTGCAAGAAAAGAAGAATACCCCAAACCCTCTTAGGAAGCTTTTAGAAAGCCTTTGGTAACAAATCCACCAAACATCTTTAGAAAGGAGAGCTCTTAGAAGAATAGAAGCGAGTGACTTCCAAGCCTTTAGTTGAGATCCTCCTGTTCAGAGACTACTTAGGACCAACTCTTTTTTTGATAGAGTTACAGGCTGGGTAGATGCAAGGAATGCCGTGGATATAGCGTACCTGGATTTCAGTAAGGCCTTCGACAAGGTCCCCCATGACCTTCTGGCAAGGAAACTAGTCCAATGTGGGCTAGGCAAAACTACGGTGAGGTGGATCTGTAATTGGTTAAATGGATGAACCCAGAGGGTGCTCGCCAATGCTTCCTCTTCATCCTGGAAAGAAGTGATGAGTGGAGTGCCATCAGCAGGTTTCCGTCCTGAGCCCGGTGCTGTTCAACATCTTTATTAATGACTTAGATGAAGGGTTAGAAGGCAGGATCATCAAGTTTGCAGACAACACCAAATTGGGAGGGATAGCCAATACTCCAGAGGACAGGAGCAGGATTCAAAATGATCTTGACAGATTAGAGAGATGGGCCAAAACTAACAAAATGAAGTTCAACAGGGACAAATGCAAGATACTCCACTTAGGCAGAAAAAACAAAATGCAAAGATACAGAATGAGGGACAATGCCTGGCTCGAGAGCAGTACGTGTGAAAAAGATATTGGCGTCCTCGTGGACAGCAAGTTAAACATGAGCCGATGTGATGTGGTGGCAAAAAAAGCCAATGGGATTTTGGCCTTCATCAATAGGAGCATAGTGTCTAGATCTAAGGAAGTAATGCTATTATTATTATTATTATTATTAATAATAATAATAATAATAATAAATAATTAATAATAATAATGCTACCCCTCTATTCCGCCTTGGTTTGACCACACCTGGAATATTGTGTCCAATTCTGGGCACCACAATTCAAAGAGAGATATTGACAAGCTGGAAAGTGTCCAGAGGAGGGTGACTAAAATGATCAAGGGTCTGGAGAATAAGCCTATGAGGAGTGGCTTAAGGAGCTGGGCATGTTTAGCCTGAAGAAGAGAAGGCTGAGAGGAGATAAGATAGCAATGTATAAATACGTAAGAGGAAGTCTTAGGAAGGAGCAAGCTTGTTTTCTGCTTCCCTGGAGACTAGGACACAGAACAATGGCTTCAAACTACAAGAAAGGAGATTCTATCTGAACATGAGGAAGAACTTCCTGACTGTGAGAGCCGATCAGCAGTGGAACTCTCTGCTGCGGAGTGTGGCGAAGGCTCCTTCTTTGGAGGCTTTTAAACAGAGGCTGGATGGCCATCTGTCAGGGGTGCTTTGAATGCCATATTCCTGCTTCTTGGCAGGGGGTTGGACTGGATGGCATATGAGGTCTCTTCCAACTCTATGATTCTATGATTCTAACTCACGTAGAGAAACAGCCACAAGGTGACTTTCCCTTCATCTTACATATGCGACATTTCAAAAACCCTTCTGCATGGCACAGTATTCAGTAGCATATCCTGAATGATTGTGTTCTGGGGCACAATCATTTCCTACCCAGGAGTCCTGTTGTGAAATCACTTATATCGCATCCATTTTGGTTGCGAAGGTCCCCTGCGGCCTCTCCACCACATCAGCTATTGTATGAATCCAGTTCCCTCTCAAAAAACACCTCGATTGTATGCTTTGTGGGTTTTTCCCTTCGGCACCAGTCCGAGGAGAAATCCATTTTGTGAGCAAGGTGTGCCTTAGATTTAGTTTAGATCAGACACTTAAGAATGTGCCTTTATTAAAAGTGCATCCTGCTCATTTAACTCCCAAACTAAATTACTTGGTACTGCTCCATTTGCGGTGGTTTGTTCCTATGGATATTAATGGGTTGTAATACATTTCTCATGGCTGAATCTCAAATACCCTTTGGGGAATAAACAATGTAGGGAAATAAGATATATCGTTAGTTGCTTTGTCCCCCCCCCCCCCCATCTATTTGATTAATTCCAAATCACTTCATTTCAAGCTTCTGTAACTTTTAATTTCCTACGAAAAAGAACATGTTAAATTATGGATGTGTCAGAAGGTAAAAGAGGCGTGCTTCAAGCCTTTTACATAGAGAGGTAGGTAGGTGGTGCAGGGGTTTGAGTGCTGAATTATGACGCTGGAGAACCAGAGTTCAACTCCCTGCTTGGCCATGAAATCTCACTGGACGTTGCCTTGAAAGCCAATTGTTTGAAAGAGGGGGGGGGGGGAATATTGGCAGCACAGAGGTAGGCTTGCCAGTGAACAAAGTTGAGTTGGAGGGTTGTTCTGGCCAAGCTTCACTGCCAAACAGACACCAGATTGCAACCACACTTTCTTTCTACTGCCAAATTAATAATAATACTTCTTATTGCCCACCTCTTCTTCTGGCTCAAGGCAGGGCACAACAATTAACCTCAATTAACCCGCTTAATAAGAACTGAATTAAGGACAAGTCTTGCACCTTGGCCTTTCCCAGCTGCCTTTGCTTCTTTGGGAACTTATGTCTGCATCTGACAAGCCCTCTCTCTTTGCTTATTCAGAAACATGATTGGATCCCTACAGCAAGGCCTGTCTTTGACAGCAGAAACATAACTCAAAAGTCTTAACACTGTGCAGCCTCAGATATGTTCCTTTTGGGAACATTTGCACTGTAGAATGAATGCAATTTCACACCTCCCTCCCTCCAGGTAATAATAATAATAATAATAATAATAATAATAATAATAATAATAATAATCTTTATTTATACCCCGCCACCATCTCCCAAAGGGACTCGGAGTGGCTTACATGAGGCCAAGCCCAACAACACATCAATAAAAATGACGGGGAATAAGCAAAATAAACAATACAATTAATATAACTCACACATTAACAATATCACACAAAAGATTTGAAAACCTATGGCTGGGCCAGATGTAATAGTTAAAACTTTAAAAATAAATGCTGGACATGAACAGAGGACGTATCTAGTAGGAGGGTTTTAAATGAAAAGTAAAAAGAAGCCCAATGGGTAATTAAAGTGCTCCAGGTGTTTTGGACTTCAACTCCCACCATTCCTCACAACCTCAGACCCCTTCCTTTTCTTCTCCTTTTCCGCTTAAGTAGCTGGGGGGGGGGGGGGGGGGGAGGAAAGGGCCTGAGGCTGTTAGGAATGATGGGAGTTGGAGTCCAAAACACCTGGAGGGAGGGCCTAAGTTGGCCCAGGCCTGCTATAGAATCATGAGAGTTGTATATTTGTGACATTTTTAGCTTTCTCTGCCAAAGAGTGTTGGTGCCTCTCTAAACTACAACTCACACGAATCCATAGCATTGAGCCGCAGCAGAGAAAGTGATGTCAAACTGCATTCATTCTACAGTGTAGATGTACTCCCAGTACCCGTGCTAAGTCGATTTGGGGAGACTGGAGGAAAGATTGCACCCAACAAGAAAATATCATCCTATTCACAGAGATGTCAAATGTTGTTAATATAGAGCATAGAATTAGCTCTACAATAGAGATTGTATGAAATATTTCATCATTTTTGATGGAACAATGTGTGTATCCCCAAAATTAGTGCAAAATGTCTAAGATTTCCTAGTCATTGCAATTTAAAGGCCTTGGCAATCCTTCAAGTGGAGAAAAAAAAACCCTGCTTATTTCTCTTGTCTGCATTTGCCTTTGCTTAACTCAATGTGGCATTTCCGCATGTAAATGCCACCGTAGCCTCAGAAACCATATCTTGGCTGTCACTCTTCATAAAACCAGCTGCAAAGCACCACCTCTTAACAAGCCATGCTGTTAAATCACAATGCCCTGCACTGGGAGCATGTTGTCATTTTGGGAGGCGCTTGTGTGTGTGACAAGCAGGCCACAAATCCTGATTCTCCTTCCTTTCCCAGACATCAGCAGAAATGAGCTAAAAACTTTGCAGCCTCTGACAAACGGAGCTCGCACAACACAATACATTTTAATCCTCAACAACTCCATAAAATACTGCAGACTGATCTTTGTGAGGCGCAGGATGGGAGTAGCAAGGAAGCTTTATTTTGGGGAAGAGTTTTTCACTGACAGAGCCGTTGTGGGTTTGCTGTCTTCATCTGCAACAACTCAGGAAAACTTTGCAGCCTAGGCTTGTTTTGTGTCTGTTTGTTTTTCTTGGTGAGTGAAAAATGGAGGTGGCATTCATTTCTCTCCACCCCCCCCCCTTCTATTCCTTTGCCTTGGGTAACATAATGCAGCACTGTTTTCAGATGCATCACCGATAATAGAAAGGAATCTGTGGCCTTCTGCAGAAGCAGCCGCAAAATAAAACCAGCATCTGCTTCTTAATGGTGTGTGAGCTTCTGACAAGGAAATAAACATTAACGGATCTCTACCAGCCGCCCTGGAAAGTAGCCCATCAATTTAGCAGGAGCATAAATGGCCATGCTTTACTGCCCCTATTTATTATTTTCTTCAGGAACTGGCCACATAAGATAAGCTTCTAAACTCAGCCATTCATCAGGTATGAGGTACTACAAAAACTGGGTCGTTTGGCCAATTTGTCTTGTCAGTTCCTAAAATAAAAAGGAACACATGATTGCTTTTTTATTCTATCCCCACATCTCTCCTCACGCTCCTTCTTGACGCCCTCCGTCAACAGGTTTGGCTTTCATACAATATTCCAAGTTTGGCTCGCTGTTTTGGCTTGGTCAATAGAACGAGCACTTTTTATAAAAGTTCTGCAAGCCACATGTGTGGGAGGAGTCAGGCTTCCTTCCACAACACGAAGCTTGCCTTTTGAGGCCAAATGACATGGCCTTTCTGCCCCTTAGTACCAAAATACTTGCTGTAATAGAGATTTTGTTGTTTGGTTCTCCTGTTATACTTGTATCACTTACCTCCATTTTTCCAACGGCAATTTCCTCTCCCCAAAGCCTTGGAGTTGCGTCTGTTATCTGAGAGAACATTCGATTATGGTTTTACGGTTCAGAAACTACCCTGCCGGGAGTTTAATTTACTACCTTAGCCTCCGAATCTCAAAAGCTGAATATGTTGGGCAGGGGATATTTATTCCATTAGGCAAAAATGAGAAACAAGGGAGCCTAAGCCTAAATGTTTTCCTACCTGGGTAGGCATGTCTTTCAGATATGCTTGGAGATGTGGTTATGAAAGGGATATAACATTCATACCATGGTATGTATTGTCCTTTTCACTAGTGAAGGTAATCAGTTTCAAATGCCTTTGTCCTTTCTGGATTTCACAAAATATGTTCTGATGAATTTCCGTCACCTTTTTGCACCAGTTCTTTTGATTGTAGTCATTTATCTAGCTGAACACATAATTAGAAAGTGTGATCTTTTTCTGTTCTTTTTGATGGAAAAATGCAGATGGAGTTTCCCCAGATCAAAGTCTTTTCTACTCTGTCTCCCATCCCGGGCTTCACCAAGTGGCTCGTCGGCCTCCTTTCCCCTCAGTCTAAGGAAAGCGTCCGAAGCAACCCTTTCACGGACTCAGAGTATCGAGAAATCGCTGAGATTGCTGGGGACCCCATGGCTGAAACCCTAAAACGTCTGTTGATGAACAATGAGTGGGTGAGGTCTGAAAGACTGGTCCGGGCATTGCAGGCTCCACTCCTGAGGCTGTGCGCCTGGTATTTGTATGGGGAGAAGCACCGTGGCTATGCGCTGAACCGCGTAGCAAACTTCCACCTTCAGAACGGCGCTGTGTTGTGGCGTCTGAACTGGATGGCGGACATGAGCCCCCGGGGCATCGCCGCTTCTTGTGGCATGATGGTCAACTATCGCTACTTTTTGGAGGACACAGCTAGAAACTCTGCCGCTTACATCGAATCGAAACACATCAAGGCCTCGGAACAAGTCCTCTCCTTGGTCTCTCAGTTCCAGCAGGATAGCAAACTTTGAACAAATGAGGAGGCTTTAAGGATATAACACCTGTTTCCTTGGGGTGCACGTACTTATCCTATTCTTATTTGTGACCGCTCTTGTTGCCTTGGCATTCCTTGTCAACAACAAGAGAGATCGTAATTCTCAACAAACAACAGCTAGGCAGATTCTCCTTTGTGGAAATGGCCAGCCAGCAGTGAACCGCGCGTGCCATACCTGGCCTTGCTCAGTGAATCGATAGTCTTGTTTAATCTTCATCTTCAAAAGAGGCGTCCAACACCTGCGCGCTCCGACGCATTACAGGGAGAAGGAGATCAATACCAGAGTCACTAGATGAAAGGGACAGGCGAGGAAAAGCTTTTTGTCTGAATGTACAAACAAAGCCACATCCTCAGCACTTCTCAATAAGGTGTTTGTTTTACGCCCCCTCCCCCTTCCCCTTTCTGTTTTTGTGCTGCATTCTTTGATCAGGCCATCCACTTTAGTGCAAAATGCCACCGCCGAGTTATTTCTTTGCTGGAGCGCTGAAACACCTTTGTGAGTGTGTGCGCTTGTGTACTTTGGCTCCATCTCAAGTGCTCTCCAGATGGCAGATGTGGAGAATGAAGTGCCTGCAGCTTTACAGTAGCTGAGCTTTTATGATTTCACAAGTGAAACCGGCAGTTCGGAAACTCAAGAGGAAAGAACTGATTGCGGAAATCTTTATCATGTTTACAATTTGAAAAACATACATGACAATATATTTAAACTTGAAGCTTAATTTTATTTTGAAAAATGTACATTAAAATATCTGGGTTGCAGCCATACCTGTATGACATTTTGTTTGTATGTGGTGCTGTTCGCTGTCAGTTAAATCTCAGATTGTGTTTCCAGCAGAGAAAGTTGATGCAGCTGTATGAATTTCCCTGATCCCGCAGATCGTACATAAAAGGAGACCCTGTGTAGTCTGTGTTTCAGAACATGTCTCTGCGAGATTCAGAAGTAATGTAAAAAGGGGGAGGGTGAAGGCAGGTAGCGAGTGATTTTCCTTACCTTGTTAAAGCTACTTTGCAAATTATTTATTTATTTCATAATAAAAGCATTGTATAAATTTGTATAAAACTGATAAAAACAGAAGGAGCACAAGCGGCTAAATATCTTTTGACCAAAAACGGGCAACAGCAACTACATTGTCTGTAGCCTCCAACAACTCTTCTTGTGTACATGAGGCAGGACATTTGAGACAAGCATATAAATGCAGAGTTGTCTGTTCTGCTCCTCAGTCATTCAATGCTATGTTCACCTGCTTTGCATGGGCAGGTTTATGCCAAACAGGGCAGGCATCCTCGGCAGCTGAGTAAGACAAGGCCAGGGCTGATATTTTTATTAATTTTGGGTCTGCAACCCAAAGTGCAGTGACTGTATTCTGTTTTACCCCGTGAGGTCAAGGAGGTCTTAAACACTTCCTTGCCCACCTTGTTTCAACAATGAACAGTCTTCCTTATCTGTTGGGATTATACTGAAATCCTTGCACAAGTTTGTAAGTGTTCCGGTACATTATATTTTATATATTTATCGTGTCAGGAGCAACCAGACATTTGTATTACATTTTTAACAAAACACACAAACAGACAAAACACAAAGTTTGCAAGCTTGGTAGTTGATCACTTCACTTCACTTTATTTCTTAATTAGTCGCTCTCCACCAAGGTGCTCCGGGCGACACAATCTAAAATAGCATTTACACAATATAGAAACATTTAACATAAAAACATTCAACAGTGACTATTTGGCAAATTAGATCTGATTACTTAAATGCACAACCAAACAGCCAAGTCTTGAGTGCCTTTACAAAAGGTCGCAACTCCGACATTGCTCTAATGTATGGAGGCGATGAGTTCCACAGAATTGGAGCATAGGTCGAAAAAGCTCTACGCCTTGTAGCTTCCAGGTGTACCTCCCTAGGGCCCGGTATGTATAGGAGATTTTCCTGGGTGGATCGAGGTGACCACTGATGGAGAAAAGGAATGAGGCGGTCCCTGATTAAATGTCCTTTGTCCAGTAGCTGGCCACTTGGAGTGCCTCTGGTGTTGCCACAAGGAGGTCCTCCATTGTGCATATAGCAGGGCTCAGGTTGCATTGCAGCAGGTGGTCAGTGGTTTGTTCTTCTCCACACTCATGTCATGGATTCCACTTTGTAGCCCCATTTCTTAAGGCTGGCTCTGCATCTCGTGGTGCCAGAGCGCAGTCTGTTCAGCGCCTTCCAAGTCGCCCAGTTTTCTGTGTGCCCAGTGGGGAGTCTCTCATTTGGATTTTGGTACATTGGAAGAGCTATATTGATGTCCAGAATCCAAAGCACAAGAAAGCCATAGTCATAAAGCAGGGAGATAACACATCCTCTTTATACCTTGCCCAAAGTATTTTAGGAGACAGCATCAGTATCTAGGTTTGTTACTGATTTCTCTTGGAAACACTTGCACATCCCCATTTTGAGAGCCTCCAAAGCCTTCTGATGTCATGAACTACATACAGATCGTATGAGGTGAGTTTGCTATCAGTGAGTAGGATTCTGATCTGGAATACTGCATTGATAAAACAGTTCATGGAAGCCCATGGATTGATTACGAAAAGAAAATTGCATTCCCTTCTAGAAAGTAATTTTTACACACTGGCCTGGCAATCTTAAGCAGGTTCGGTTACAGCTTTTTCCTTCTTTTTCAATAGTTTTTGAAAAGCATTGCTACACAGCATAACATTATTCAGCAGGTGTTACTATTTGTTCATTGTGTAGGTGGTGGTCAGATGCTTGTTAAAGAAAGATGACTAGCAGTTCATTATGGAGTCATCTGGACGGGACTGTTGATGTGAAATGAAGGAAGTCTCTTTGCGCAGCTTGGAGAGTGATCCCAGGATGTGCCCAGATTGCAGTGTGTGCACATCTGAAAGTGTTGCCAGACACAGAACAAAATACACATGGTTTTTGGAGAGCTTCATAATGAATTGCACAATGCATTAAATTTAAACATAGACTCCGTTCCACGGCTTGGAAGGTTATCTGCGCCCAGCGGAGCTTACTCCTTAATAAAATGCATTTAGATTCACAAACGTGGGCTCTGATCTTATGTACACTAACTGGAAATGGGCGTATGCCCCATTGAACTCAAGTGAGCTTGCTTCTAAATTGAAGATTATATTAATTCCAATTCTCAAACCCGCAAATGTGGAGGCAGTCGATGAACAGCAATCCATTGATCTTACCGTGTCTTTGCTTTTCCCCCCTCCATCTATACCTGCAAAGTAAATTGAAGTTCAGAGGATTTGAGTCCTTTTCTGGTGAAAGCACAATCCTGCTTGGGCTGAGAGCATCTAATGCAAAAGCAACTACTTTTACTTAGTCCATTAAATCTTCTTTTTATTTAGAAATCCATTAGAGTTGCACAGTTAAATCACCAGGGTTAGGAGACTTGTATGTTAAGTATTCCAGGGCTTCTGGGTTGCTGAGAACATTGAGCATTTGGCTCCCTTTTAAGTTCTTGCAAAATCCCAGTTTGAAGGTGAAACTTTGCTGTATTGCCATTGGGATGCCGCCCACGCTTCCTTCCTGGAGTTCTTACGGACAGTCAAGAAGGCAGGAAAGTTTGCAGAGTAAAAAGTTATTGCCAACTGATGTAAGACGCTAATGTCTTCTAAGGTCCCATCCAGACCTATCGAAAAAGACCATAAAGTTATCCTGGAGAAAGGAGCCCCTGGTGGCACAATGGGTTAAACCTTTGTGCCGGCAGGACTGAAGACCGACAGGTCGCAGGTTAGAATCCAGAGAGTGCGGATGAGCTCCTGTCTGTCAGCTCCAGCTCCTCATGTTCCCACAGGAAAGGAGATTCTACCTGAACATTAGCAAGAACTTTCTGACTGTGGGAGCTGTTCAGCAGTGGAACTCTCTGCCACAGAGTGTGGAGGAGGCTCTTCTATGGAGGCATTTAAACAGAGGCTGGATGGCCATCTCTTGGGGGGTGCTTTGAAAATGATTTTCCTGCTTCTTGGCAGGGGGTTGGATTGGATGGCCCATGAGGTCTCTTCCAACTCTAGGATTCTATGCGGGGACATGAGAGAAGCCTCCTACAAGGATGGTAAAACAAAACATCCAGGTGTCCCCTGGACAACGTCAATTCTCTCACGCCAGAAGCAACTTGCAATTTCTCAAGCCGCTCCTGACACACACACAATCTTGGAGATCCATATGTGTTCTTTTACTAGATCTATATAGAAGTCATCTACGTATTGCTTGGATGTGTACACCCATATATTTTCTATGATAGTCAAGAGACAATGTTGGCACTCTCCATACTACTCAGCCACAAAAGAAATTATCCTTAGTCGCCAAGAAGGATTAAGAGAGAAGAGAAAGAGTGGAGCATATATTGCCGTTGCAATTTCTGCCACTTAGTAAATGGTCCTCAGCTGTCAAAAGTAGTTTCGTTTCCCAGATCCTTTAAGGAATTCAAGAGACAGCAGAGTACCATTCGGAGTGCTTCAGTGTGGCAAAATATCAATAAAGCCTCTTGTTGTTACAAAACTATTAGCAATTTAACTCACAGCAACAAATGAATTATTTCGAGTGTTAGACGGCGAGAGGAAAGCCCTGCCATCAAGCAGTTGCCAATAAACAACATGGAAACACTCTGGGAAGAAAGGAGAGAAACCAGAATCAGGTAATGTATTGTCGAAGGCTTTCATGGCTGGAATCACTAGGTTCTTGTGGGTTTTTTCGGGCTATAGAGCCATGTTCTAGAGGCATTCTCTCCTGACGTTTCGCCTGCATCTATGGCCACCTCCTCTAAGATGGACTGAACCACCTCAACTGGGCTCTACAGGCCAATGGATACTCCACCTCAGACATCAGAAGAGCTGCAAGACCAAGAACAAGCCACGAGAGTAAAGATGAAGATTCACCCAGAGGAAAAGTGTTCCTGCCATACATCAAGGGAACCACTGACCGCATAGGGAAGCTGATGAGGAAACACAACATACAAACAATCTACAAACCCACCAAGAAAATCCAACAAATGCTACGTTCAGCAAAGGACAAGAGGGATCCTCTCACCTCTGCAGGAGTCTACCGTATACCATGCAGCTGTGGACAAGTCTACATAGGGACCACCAAACACAGCATTGCCCAGACACGCATCAAGGAACATGAAAGGCACTGCAGACTACTTCAACCAGAGAAGTCAGCCATAGCAGAGCACCTGATGAACCAACCTGGACACAGCATTTATTTGAGAACACAGAAATGCTGGACCACTCTCACAACCACCATGTCAGAATACACAGAGAAGCCATTGAAATCCACAAGCATGTGGACAATTTCAACAGAAAGGAAGAAACCATGAAAATGAACAAAATCTGGCTACCAGTATTTAAAAAAACTCTAAAATTACAACAGCAAAACAACAGAGAGGAAACAACCAGGCACAGATTAACACCTCCCAGCAAGAGATTTTCCCAGGCTCAGCCAGGCCTTCAAATGCTAATGAAGGTGATCAGCTAAACATTCACACCTAACTGCAGCAGGGAAGAGCTCCTTGCCCCACCCCAGCCATCCCACAGATATATAAGCCCATTTTTCCTACTTCCAACAGACCTTCTCAACCTCTGAGGATGCTTGCCATAGATGCAGGCGAAACGTCAGGAGAAATGCCTCTAGAACATGGCTCTATAGCCCGAAAAAACCCACAAGAACCTACAGAATCGGGTATTTCTTAGCTTTCGGTTTCATGTACAAGAGGTGTCAACATTGTATGGGTGTTTAAAAGGTTCGCAGACTAGTC